ATTCTGTTACTAAAGAAAAATAGTACATTCATAAATTTGTCCAATTGAAATAGACCTTTCTTTTTTTGCATGCCTGAAGTTTTTGAGTGTAAACGGAAATAAATCAAATACTTAAATTTTTTGGATTATGTAAATTCGATATCCTTGGTTTTAATTATTCCTTTAGCTTTCTGTGGTGCCGGAGGTACACAATTTTTCTTGTCTTTGGTTGTCTGTGATGTGATGTGATGGGTAACATTGATGACTTATTGCTGTAAATGTTTGTGTCAAGATATGTTTTGTTTTTAACTTGATTCTTCCTGACTCGTATGCACAGCATCCATGGTCAATGTGCCATTATCATGTTCGATGTCACCGCCAGGTTAACGTACAAAAATGTTCCAACATGGCACCGAGATCTCTGCAGGTTGTTTGACTAGATGCTTGGAACTGAATGTGCAAAAGTTGTCCTCGTATTTCTAATTGTCTAATTATCATATTTGTTCTGAAACCAGGGTGTGTGAGAGCATTCCTATTGTCCTCTGTGGTAACAAGGTCGATGTGAAGAACAGGCAGGTCAAAGCAAAGCAAGTTACATTCCACAGGAAGAAGAACCTTCAATACTATGAGATTTCTGCGAAGAGCAATTATAACTTTGAGAAGCCCTTCCTTTATCTTGCTAGAAAACTCGCAGGGTAATGAGAAATGAGTGTTATTTTGTTGTAAGCTGCATTATGTGTATGTGGTGAACTTAATGCCATTTTTGTTGGTAGGGACCCGAATCTTCACTTTGTTGAATCACCTGCTCTTGCGCCTCCAGAAGTCCAGATTGATCTGGCTGCGCAGCAACAGTAAGTGCAGCTTAACTTTCTGTTCAATAGTTTGAAATTCAGTTCCCTCCCCATGGTTTCCAATGCTATTTGGTCAGAATTTGCGACATCAAAAGCACCTTCTTGACAACAATACGATGAATACCTGTTGTACCTTTCTTTTCTAATTATCAGTCTTAGTAGTGTATATATATCTCATTTCCAGTGTCGGTAATTGTTCTTCATATCATCGTATCATGCATGCTAAGAAGCTTTATGTGGTTCTCAGTTTGTTGTATTCTGATGTTGATAACGGTCGATCATGTGTACCTACAATTTTCAGGCATGAAGCTGAGCTGGCTGCGGCTGCTGCCCAACCCCTTCCTGATGACGATGATGATGTGTTTGATTAGAGTTTCTTGGTTCATGTCTATATGCAGTAAGGTCTCAGTCTGTGTAGTTTATCTCTCGAGGCCCCGTCTTCGAACTATTTTAGTTTTTTCACCAGCCATGGAGTTGAACTTTCCACGTTTACCGTTTGAAAAGTCATGAAGACTAGTTTGATTAATTGATTCAAGACTCTTTCCTTTCATGTGTGATCAAAAGTTGTTATTTAATCATGTTCTGATTCTAATTCTTGCGTTTATTTCTCTGTCAAGAAGAAACGTAGACACAGTGTTCGGTGTGGTTGCTCTTTTGAATCAAACTATAAAATGCTGTGCCGTCAGGTTCGAGCTCCTCTCAGTGCCATGGTTGCAAATTGCAATATTAATTTGAGTTGAATTATTCTCATCTTAGTTCTTACCATAACCTCCTTTCATGGAGGTGTGAAGAGTAAAGATGTGGCCTTAATCTTTTTGTTTTTGTTTTTGCTAGTAAGTTTTGAATATATGATGCTAACTCTTTGACTGACCCTTTCTCCTCTGATGATTTAAAAGAATTATGCTAGTAGAAACATTTCTAAGGAACTTGTTTTTGATCTTTTGGAGAATGATGCGATCAACCCTATCATACATCAGAGTCAAGGAGAGGTGTTGCATCAAAAGGAGGAGACCAAGAATGAAGTAGCACCATCAAGTGGAATGCTCGGTGAGCATTGAATGTTTCCAAGTTAGTTTCAAGATAATAAATTTTCAAGTTTAATTCTATTAAAATTTAGGAAATATCTTGATATAATTATAAAAAATTAAAATTATCAAAATATAATGCATTTAATATGTATTATAATTTGTATTTGACTTTTAATAGATTGTGACTTATTTGATTCATTGTACGAGAGATCTTCTACAAAGGGGAAGGAAGAAAAATTGATGTGGCATTCTTATTTTTAAAATCATATCAAGTTTTTTATATTTTGAATTATTAGTTTTATAGTTTTCTTTGGAAGAAAGAATTCTCTTTTGTTCTCCCATATCTTACTTTTAAGCATCTCATCATCGTAGATCTAAAATCAGTAAAAGGGTGAGAAAGAGGAAGAACAGATTCCTGAGTGAGTTTTGACTTATACGTATACTTTTCCTCGAATATTGTTTTTAGAAGTGGATTTCTCTACCACTTTTGATTTCTTGTTCGTTTGTGATGGATTTGCCTGGCTTTCTGTTCTAGACGGTTCCAATTTCGATTTTAAATTAAAATCTTTTTTTAATAAAAAAATTAATTTAATTTTTTTATATTAATGTTTAAATTTAAAATTTAAATTTTCATCAAAGATTATATATACAGTTCTATATACCTAATGACATAAATTAAGTAATAATCCCTTACCCCCCCCCCCCAATGGCCGTCAAATGTTCTGATTATTCCTCTCGTCAGTAGATCAAATAATTTTTTTTTTTTATATCTTCCACTCAACTTTTAGTTCAATCATCAAAATCTACCTTCAACTCAACTTTAGTTGAATCATCAATACATACTTGGCCCTCAATTAATTCAGGGGTCATACTGATTCCATAGTTTCTAAATTTTATTTTAGATTAGTTAATAAAATTGACAATGTTATTAAATGCCTTAATTCACATTCTACTACACTTAAGCAGCTGGTCTCAGATCCTGGAAACAATTCCTCTGCCAAATGTAAGTGGAAACACGTTCTCCTTAATTAGTATCTTTTATCTCTTATTTCCTAATCTGTCCTATGGAAAGCAGAGTTGATCATAACTTGTTTATTAATCATTTGGCTGTTGGATAGGCATCCATTTGTGCCATTGCAGGTCAAGTGGATATTATTGGTGGATACAGATAATACAGCACACACTGCAAATCTTTTGTCAGCTGAGCCAGCTGATGGTATCTTCTTGATGTTGTATGGGTCATATACTTGTATTGATTTCCAGTACTAGTTTCTCTTTCCATTCAACTTTGAGAGCTTTAAACACCTAAAAAACCTTTAACTCTATTGCCAATGAGAATTTAAACACACACACATTTGTGAACAGATAGTAAACTCTTATGATAGAATGCTGGACATGATGCTTAATCTTTGTTTGGTTACTTCAATTGTCACTCAAAAACTTGGCATTGGTGGGTTCAGTATGGGTGCTGCAACTGCATTGTACCCTGCCTCTTGCTTCACACATGGAAAATACGAAAATGGCAGTCTATAGACTCTAATACCCCATAAACTTCAGTGCAGTCATTGGCCTCAGTGGCTGGCTTCCATGCTCAAGGTCTGTTCTATCTTAAAATGTCCAATGTTTGATCTATGAAAATATCACATCTATCGAATTCTCGGCATGTGAATAAAAAATGCAAGAAAATATGCATGTTCCACTCACCCAGGAGCTTGAACACTAAGGTGGAAAGCTCACATGATGCTGCAAGGTGAGCTGCCTCCTTGCCAGTTCCATTGTGTCATGGAAGAGGTACCTTCTCTGTCACAGAAGAACATGATTAGATAACTTCGATATGCAGTTATCTTGCAATAAATGTGGAGAAGAATTGATAAGCCAAAAGATGTGAACGTTACTGTTTGATTCGTTTTGCCATACCAACAGGAGCTCAGAATCCTGATTTGGATGCACACAATTTACCATGAGTTTGTTTCAGGTGATGGAGTGGTTCCGTATAAACACGGGAAAATTCTGGAGAGGTTCTAAGAGTGTTTGGGTTCAGAAATCTCACGTTCAAGACCTTTTACAATGGGTATGTCTCTGATGCTGTTGTTGTTGTTCCATCGATTCATATTTCTGACTTCTGAAAACTAGATTCCTGAAAAGAAAAGAAAAATAATAGATTTCTTCAATTTTCCTGCCTTACACAACGAAGCAACTGGAATTTTTCAGACTCGAACACTGCACAATACCAGAAGAAATGGATACTGTCTGCAAGTGGCTCACAGCAAGGCTGCAGCTTGATGGGTCTCACAGAAAGTATATCCAATTAGTGCATTAAATATGTAGAATTTGTATGTATATAAATGTATTCGGGAGTATGTCATTCTGATACTATTGCTTGAGTGGTCTAATAGCTTGATAGATATGCTGCATCCTACACTGTCTTCCCAGTTCTTGTCCATAAATCCAGCCAGAATTCATTTGCTCTTCACTATGGTTTTCATATACTTGCATTCCATGGTCATAGACAAAAGTTACAACATTATAATGCAAAACTGGATTAGGCACTAGAGCATCCAGGATGTTTTTTCCTTGGAAAATTTCTCGTAAAAAGTAATGTTCAGGATGATGAGAATGGAACAACACATAACATGAATTAACCAAGGATAGTAAATAAGCAATCATATAATTGGCAAATATTTGAAGTTATAGTCCACAGCTAGAAATTAAAGAATATAAGTTCAGAAGGTGCCTGAATTAGTTGCCAGCTCCATGACCATGTTGCTGCTTCTGCCATGATTAACAGCCATGCTTGTCATCTGCACATGATGCACAGACAAGTTCTTGCAGTAACAGAAAGAAAAGCCAGGATTTATGGCAAAAAAATTGTCAGATTTTGATCCTGAAGCACCAGAATTCATCCAAATTTCCTCATGACCCATTAACATGACCAATCTCTTTTACTTCTTTACTTTAATACTTGAGTCCAGATCAGGCAGGAAATCATCATTATTTGGCTCAGCACTTCCAGAACAACGGATTATATGAACAACTTTACAATATCTGTGAATGTTGCTTGCTGCGGTAAAAGCAGCAGTGATTAACCATGAGCTGTGCGCATGCAGCAGCCAGTTCAGAGATTCAAAGGCTACACAAAGAATTAACATCACAATGCATCACAATCATCTATCATCTTGACCATAGTCCAATGACAAGTGCACAGAAACTAGCTGCGCTTCAAACGTGAAAAGGAAAACTAGAATCAAGATACACCATCATCATCCAACATCCGGAACTGCCGTCACTGCCTTTCTTGGTTCTGTTGAGAAGCTGCATCTGTCTCATCAGATCCACCATCGCCAATAGCTCCATTGCTATGGCTCGTTCTCCCAACAGATGTTGAATTGCTTAAGGTCTCTCCCCATAGTATCACTCTACTTCCCCTTTGACCCCTTGATGAATCCTGCAGAGAGGTTCTTGGTCTAGAAGACTGTGGCAGAGATGAACGAGCAGTATCGCTACCTCCAGCTTGACGCACATGCACTACCAAAAGCATAGTGACCGAGGGAAATATGAAGACGCTGCCATTAGCCTCTTCGTCATCCTCATTAATGTAGAACCCATCTTCCTCTCTGGTAACTGATGAACGAAACATGCTGAGCAGGTCTCCAAGGTCCCGCTGTCGCTCCATCCTTCTCCAGTCTTGCTGTCGATCAGGATCTGCCTCTGATGGCCGCACAGATGGATGCTCTTTCCTTGCATGCTTCCTTAGCTCACCATAAACACCACTAAATGCACATGACTCCATAGAGCAGCTACGAGTCTTAGCATTCATATATTTGCGAGCTGGCTCTATGACTGTCCAACTAGTGACTAACCCTCGACAAAGAGGGCATGAAAGCTTAGCTGGCTGTTGTGCATCACCATTATCCTGGAGTGACTTAGATCCAGAGAAGGCCTTGCGGTACTGATCCAGACAATTAGAGTGACGATAGCTAGTGTCACACATGAACGGACGGCAACCATTGTCATGTGAGGAGCATAGAAGGAGAACAGCATTGTGGGGGTGCTCCATGCACACAGGGCAACGAACCTCCTCCCATTCTTTAATGTCCTTGGCCGACTCCACAGAATCAGTTTGGATACGTGAGGAAGAAGTAGATGGAAAAGGTGATGCTCGGGATCGCCGTTCAAATGACAGAGATCGTGACCTCCTTTCCTTGGGCATTTTAACTGGTAGGATAGAGCAGAACCACCAAAATCTTCCTGCTTTGTATGATGAGGACTGAAGTTCCAAAACAATTCACGGCACTGTAACTAAACAAGGGTGCAAAAGATTGAGATCAGTGAACAAATGAGATAAACTTCCAGCTCAAACTTCTATAAAAAAAATCATTTGCATCTGATCATCTTTTGCCGGTGCAGAGAGCTCTAATGGGTAGAAAAAGAGATACAAGGAAATAAATCCACACGACGAGACCACAAAGATCCAGAAAGTGGTGTCTAAATGCTACTTGTGGAAGATAAATAGCACAATTCTAGATTCGGACGCTAAAATTTCAGTCCGAAATTAGATCAACGAAGCACCCGCAAGAACATGCAAAAGAACCGTAGAGCAACAGGACCCTTTCATCAATTAGCCAGGATGCCAATCCGGCTGCATCACAAGATCTACAAGTCGGTGCTACTCATGACTATGCTTACCCGCCCCCCAACACAATGCGAGCAACTGCAAGATGTGTCCGATCGGTCCATCTGCAAGTACATGATCAACATCTTGGATACAGGCAATACACATCCATATCCTGGACGGTTCATTACGGCTTCTTGCACGCAGGAAAAGAAAAAGGAAGGAAAGTGTTCTCCAAACGAAGGCGGACGCCACATAATTGGGTAGGTGGTCAAAACCAGCAAGTCTCCACGAAGCTACCCGATTCCACAAAAGGGATCGCAAGAACAAGAAGGCAAAAGACAACTCACTCACTCATCGGGCGGCCACTACCCATCGTCATCCACATCAAGAAACCAAGCACTCCGAGATTTCGAGCTAACCTCGACAGAGGCTGCTGCGGCCGCTGCTGCTTCTTCCATTCCAAAGGATGAAACAACATCAAAAGAAGCAAAAGACGATCGCTTTCCAAGAAAAGAAGAGGCGTAGAAGGGGGGTTATTGCGGCAGATCAGAAGACAGAGAGATCGGAAGTGATTTCTTGATAGAGGGCTTTTACCGGCCGAGGGCAGAGAGGAAGATGCGAACTGCGGACTGCGCCAATGCATCGTCCGACTGAAGTATATGTAATTGGAATGCGAGGCTTCTCTTCTTGGATTTGGCTTTGGCGGAGACGGCTTGAAAGAGCGAGAGAGAAAAAGGAACCCTAAATTCCCGTAGAGAGACAGCAAAAGAATTGTGCGTATATATTTGTGCACGTCGCGAACCTAACATCTGCTTCAAAGTCCAAGATTACCCACTCGCCTACCCGCCTCGTGATGCGGTTGCAATCGGGCTGAGTCACATGGGGCCCGCAGATGGTTCCAATAGCAAAGCAGAAAGGGCGATGCATCTTCTCCCGAAGGGATTTCAAGTTCAAATTTCAAAACGGCGAGCAGAGGGGTCGCGTGACGCGTACATTTTCTTAGTTAATATTATTTTTATTTGGAGGGGAATCCGAGAAATCCAATTTATTGCACAAAATGAAGATGGTATTGAGATCAAATAATTAGATATTTATTAACATCGATAAATAAAAACATGACATTGGGATGGGATGTCAACTATTCTTTCCCTATATTAGTATGTCTTATGGGTGCGTTTGAGCCCAATACATATTTCGGGTGTGAATTGATGTTTAATATTTTTTTAAATTATATTTGACTTGAATGCTATATTAAAAATGTGGATAGGATAAGCATTTCGATAATTATAAGATATTAATATGATTTTTTGAATTCTAAAAGTATCCTATGGTTTTATATAAAAATATAAGATTACTAAAATAATTTAATGAGAAATCAATATGAATTACATTTTCTACGAGATAAAAAATTTATTTATTTATTTTAAAATTTTATTTTTTTATATTTATTTATATAATTATTTTTTATTTATAATATATTTTGATGAGATTACATGCATTTATTTATTAATTTAAATTATGTATATATTATTTGAATAAATATTAAAAATATTAGAAGGATAAAATTATAATAAAATATTTAATGAATTTTGAAATATAATTTTACTTACGTCAATACATATTTTTCATCTATTGTTTTCCAAAAATTCAAAGCATTCTACTTGTGGAAATAGTCCTCTTTCTCCGACTACATATTAAAAATACAAATATGTTTCCAAACTTAACCTATATCTCCATGATAAACATAAAGCACAAAATTTGCATTCAATTTAAGATGTCAAAATATACCGAAAGTGGCTTATTTCCACTCTTTTTATATGCATTATTTAATAATAAAAAAGTATAAAAGTCATGGGATCCATATATAAGAATTTCATGAAGACCAGAATGTACTTCAATCTTCATATTTACCCAAAATTACACTACAGTTTTTCCTGAAATCAGATCACCATTTATTCTAACTTTCATGCACATTCCATCATGTCATCCTAAGCATATATGCAAGCAATTCTCAGCTTATTATAAGAATAATAAAACAGAGATATGATTTAAGTATTGCAATCACAAAGTTCCAATATGATGAATTTAACACTTGCTCTTTTTGAAATATACCTGAATGCATTATCACCCTGGCAAAAGGCAACAAGAAAAGATACAGTGGAAAATTATTTGTTCCTACTCTCTCACTACTACTAAGAAATGAGGACATGAGAATTTCTGAATAAAAGTTGCTTAAACTAAGTTAATTCAAATGTACCACAAGAGCTGAAGAAAAAAATTAGAGGACAACTACCAAAACTACTAGGCCTACCTCTGGAAGTTCACAGGTTCATTGATCACAACTTGACCAAAAATAAGTCAAAGAAACCAAATGTGGCAACAAAGATGGGAGAATTCCTGTTAAGTGGCACTGAGGAAGAATCTGAAATTTGAGTTCCAAACAACAGCAGACACCAGAGTTTCCTGCCAATTGAAGACTGTCAGCAGATTGTGATTTTAGATAATTTTGTTGCAAAATAATAGGGAAAAGAAGAGGACAAATCCATACTTAATTATGTAAAAAAAGGGAAAATGTAACAATGAAGGCATCAAGATGCACACAGGAACTAGTAAAGCTGATCATGCTGATAAAAAAGGAATACCTTAAAAGAATCTTCAAGGGCAACGCACTTTCGTCTTGGAGATCTCTTTTACAGTGAGTGACAAGATACAGTTTCCAGATATGACTAACATCAAGCGCTACGTTTGCATAGTCCAGAAGATCTGCTTGGTCTCAAGAAACATGATATTTTGACATCCAAAATTCGGACTAGCGAACACTTAAAGGTGGGCAACCCATAGCCAAAGGCAAACCCAAGTTTTCGACTGTCCTGAATGTCCTTGGGACCATCTTGTCAACGTAAAGTGTGCCATCTAAGTGATCGCACTCATGTTGTAATATGCGAGCCTGCCAGCCAATAGCATCTATCTTGATAGGATGCCCATTGCGATCCAGACCTGTGACTTCAACCTCAAGGTAGCGCTCAACCACCGCTCTGAATCCATCAACACTGGAAGAAGAGGGAAAGCAAGATAGTCCGATCCATACAATAAAGCAGTTTATGGAAAGTGATAAAAAAGAGAAGTATGAAATTGTTGAACTCAAGCATCCAATTCTCCAGCGTATACAATCAAAAAGATAAGAAGCACCTCAAGAAACTAATATATGGCTAAATGTAGATTCCACATTAAAAAACAAGAAGAAAACAAAGTTACATATTAGTTAGCTGCAGAGCATGTTAATCATAAGACACGAAAAA